GAATGGGGGAATGGATCCCTGTGATAATCCCGTAAGACCCCTTAGAGTAGTCCCTATAACCCATTCCCCCATTCCCTATTAAGCAGCAGACAGATAAGGTTTCCTCCAAGGGCCCTCGGCCTTCCTAGGCTTTACATATAGGTTTTTCTGTTGTTCGCAGAGGTTCATCTGCTAATTTATACCACACGTGGGGTTTGGGTGTGATTTGTGATCCTGGGTTGGCCCGAGTTGAACATATTTTTTCGGAGAATTACGAGGGATCCTGATCTACAACAGCCGCATATCTCCTGTAAGTTTCATTGAGAGTTTGGGGGTTCCAAAGAAACCGGTTGTTTTCGCCTGTTGCACGTGCTGAGCATCTTCGAAGATGTTTTACCCAAGGCGTTTCTGTCCTAAAAGTTTGGCTCGATGGGCCCTATTCGCTAGCTCCACGAAGAATGCCGCTCGCATCTTCGAGTCTATGTTCGAAGACAGAGAGCTCAAGCAGTCATACTCCGGATCGAACAGCTATCAGTACCAGTTGCTATCCCGCTTTTCCTGCTGCTGTGCGACACATTGAACCAAAGCATCCTCCCTAAGCCTCCCTGCAGTCGCTATTCCTTCTACTATTCCTTCTACCTGGACATCCACATCGTCGTCGGCCGCGTCGTCCTTGTCGTCGGCGACCTAAACCCTAAACCCTAAACCCACCTCCGCCTCCTGCTGCATCTCCTTTGCTCACTGCGGAGGGGTCGAGTCCCCTCCACAGTCCGCGGTATAAGAGTTAGGGACTTCTGGAGACTTCCCGGGATCCGAAAAAGAGAGCCCTTAGTTTAGAGAGCGTCCCACACTAGTCGTCCTCATGGAAGGTCGTAGAAAATCACCCACCACCCTCAACCCAAAGCCCTAAACCCTAAAACCCAAAATCCTGAAGCCCTGTACCCTAAAGCCCAAAAGCCCAAAATCCCTGAAGCCCTGTACCCTAAACCTCCCCCCCCCCCGAGGCCAATTCCGCCAAGATCTCAGAAGCTCGCGGGTCCTCGCGTGGCTGCTTGCGTTGGTGGATCCGGACCACCAACTGAATGAGCCCATGGATTAGGGTTTAGGGTCTAGTTTAGGCTTTCGGCCTCGGCCCTAAACCCTATAAGCCTTAACCCGTTCCACACTGGGACCCCTGTTCTTGGCTTTTCTATGTTGGGTCGTGTTCCAAGTTCTGCCTC